GCTGTGGTGGTTGGGATCGGCATTGGCTCGGGCATTCAATGGGACCAGCTCAGTGCAATCAGCAGTAGAGGCTTAGCGATTCCCGTGGCAAACTTCGATCAGCTAAGGATCAGTCTAAATCGAACCTTTGCTTTCATCGATGAAGCACGGAGAAAGTGCAAGCTCATGACTACAGACGAGATTTTGCGTGAGATGGAACGGTCGATCCACAGAACTGTGGCCTGGCTGTTTTTTTGTTCGGGTTTGGTTTTCGGGTGCCTTTTATTTACAGAGAGGGACTATTCTTAAGGATCCTATAGGTACCACAAAAAAGAATGACAATGGAGATGATAGGTTTATAGGTAACCCCAAAATCACAAGGAGCCTTCAAAAGGTAGGTTTACGGCTCCAGCCTAAACCTTAAAGATTAGAACCCGAACTACTGCGCGAATTAAAACCGTAAAACCCTAAACCCGGAACCCTAAACCCTAAACCCTGCTGACCTGCTGAGTAGTTCCGGCCTCGTCTGCAAGCTGGTTGCTTTCGGCATGAGCACCATCATGTAACTACCACATGGGGCATCCGGGGGTGTTCTGAAGTCGGTTCAAGGTCCATCCTCAGCACAATGGCTTGCTTCTGAGGGCTGTCGAAGGTTCCATGTCACAATTGATATAAGTTTGGGAACTATCACCCCCAGCAACAGCCACGAAGCTATTGGCTGATGCATATGTTCACGGCTTCCAGATTCTGACGTCAGACGGCCTTTCATAGGATGTATGAAGCATGTTGTCTTGACTTCTCCGGATTACTACGGACCCTGGCAAGCCCACTGAGGATGTTACACGTTCTGTCAAACCACAATATGCACCCTGAAACCTCAATGGTTTGTCATTTATGCTCCAGCCGGGCCAGTGCTACGGTCAAGCTCTAGGTCCTTGAACGGCTAAAGGCGCATGCAGGTTCTGTGTCGGCTAGTCTTGGCAAGTCGCATCAGGAGCAGAAGCTCAAGTCCCAACTCGAGTTGGAGCACGAGTTCGAGTCCTGGCAGCGATCTGGGAAATCCCCTCTGTCTGTGGTCCGGCTGTGTTTGGTGGGGCAGGGCAGAGCCGGGAAGACGACCACCCTGAGGTCAGATCCGGAGCTATGGCTAGCATCATAAGTTAGGCTACGCTTTCGTGGAGTCCCAATATGAAGTTGCGTGAAAAGTTGAGGGAGACATGCATGGTAACTTGACAGTCCCTGTCAGGCGACTAAAGGGCGACCACACTGTTCAGGAGGGTGAGGAGACATCCACGTATGGTATCGACGTGTCATGGGCGGAAACATCTGGCGAGCATGTCTCTGAATCCTGGCAAGTGTGCAAGCGCAGCATGTTGGACACTCTCGCTGTGAAAGCCTTGACAGACCGGCGACAATCCCCCCAGCATGATTTGCAGCCAGCACGCTCGACAGCAACTGGTGGCCATGAAAGCATCATCATGTCGAACGCCCCCGCTGCGGGGGTATCGAACGAAAAGCGAACATCCTCTCAGCATGATATGCAGCCCGCAAACTCCGAGCTTCCCCCCGCACCACCCAGCTTGGCAGAAGTTTCGAACGGAGCAGCAAATCCAGAAGCAGTAGGCTTACGAGAAAGGCTGGAAGTGACTACAGAACGCGGGAATTCCACCCAAGACATCGTGCCACGATCGATGGGTGAGGACTTATTTGTGGAGCTCCAGCAGGCAAACCAGGAGACTCCAGGGTCTGAGACCCGCATGATCCGATTGCGGCCTTGGGATTTTCCGGGACAGCAAGAGTATTCGGATTTGAATCTCCTCTACTTCAATGGGACGGGTGTTTACATGGTCTTCTGTGATGCCAGCCGTGGATTGGAGGAGGCCTGGCAGGAATTCAGGTTTTGGCTCTGGGCCGTGGCCCGCTTTGCAGTGCCTGAAGGCCGCACAACTGATAAAGTTCAGGACCACGGCGTTGCTGGCCCTCCGATAGTGCTTGTGGCCACCAAGTGGGCGACGAAACAGTTCGAGGCCTATGAGATGGATCATCGACTGGAGTGTGCGCGCCAGGAGATACCCGGATTGAGTGGAAGGCTGCGGTGTCCACCTCAACCGAACGAGTCGAAGTGTTTCTTCTGCATAGAGAACTTTGATGGGAAGCCGGAGCAGCACATCCAACCTCTACGGGCATGTATTCAAAGCCTGGCCAGAGAGCTGCTGGAGCCGTCAGGGCTTCAGGGCACTCTCTACCCGGTGCCTTACCTTCAGGCCCATGATCTCCTTACCGAGCTTGCAGATGGCCTGGAGCTTCACGTCGCAATGAACTTGAGCGAGCTCCGCGCCAAGGTAGAGGAAGGGGGTCACCAGCTCAAGGAGGCCATCCAAGGCACACATGCGGTCCACGGAACTCCGGTGCTCGCCCCCAAGGGCTCGGTCTTAAAGAATAGCATCGCGGAAGTTCCAGAGCAGAGCGGTCGTGTGACCCTGCGGCTGCAATGCGATAGCTTGGAGTTTGTGCAGGTGGAGCAGGTTTTACAGGGTACAGGGGTCGACGTGGTTGATGTGCTACGTCTCCTACACGGCCTCGGAGTACTCTTTTGGTTCGACAAGGACAAGCTGCGGGACCATGTTCTCCTGAACGTGCGCAGTGTGGCAGTTGCCCTGGCCCGACTTATGAGTTTACGTTTCTGGCATGAGTCGAAGTTCGAGCATTCGAAGGCCTACAAAGAGGAGCTGGCAGAGAGAACACAAAACATCCAGAAAGATGTGCGTCGCTTCAAGGCCAGCGGAGTAGCTTCGAGTGCCCTGCTGCACTGCTTGTGGGGCAAGGACTTCCCGGAAAGCCAGTATGGAATCCTGATTGAAGTCATGATTCAGAAGGGCATGATTCTCAATCGTGGAGTGGAGGGCGAGTACTTGGTGCCTTCCTGCTTGCCGTCGATGGACGTTGCAGAATCTTCAGAAAGCGGGGTATGCAGCTACATTCAGCTTGGCAGGCAGATCTCACCAAGCATGTTCCCAAGGATTGTGAGCGAACTATGCCAGCAGATGGCTACGCCGGGGTCGCCCGCTGTATTGAAGCCGAGGCCACCGCAAATCTTTCGGAACCAGGCGGAGCTACAGACGGACGAAGCAGCTATCCTTATCTCGCTGTATCCTGCCTCCAGCTATGAGCTCCTCAGAATTCGTGTCCACTCGCGGGGAGATGAGGATGTTGAGATTGCAACGGAATGCTGGCAGCATGTCAAGCGGTGCTTATTTGCAGTCTTGGGCCTCGATAGCAAAAGGGACCTCGTCAAGACTGGACAAGACTGTGTCGTGCCAGATCTGGACCCAAAGAAATTCGACAGGCTATTGCAACTTGCAAAGTGCCCCAAACCACAGTGCAGCTTCGTTGGCTGGAGATCACAGTGTTCCCAATGCCGTGTCAGCGACCTGTTGCAGGAGCGCTTTCTTCCAGACCTCAGCAAAGAACTGAGGAAGGTCGTGAGGCACATTTCTGTGGAGCAAGATGCTCGGCCCGATGGCAGCTTCCGGTTCAAGCACATGGCTTACCCCGGCGATGTTGATGTGGAGGAATACTTGATCTTCGAGTCCGAAGGCCCGACGGAGGCTCTCCAGCGCTTCGCGGAGCTATTGCAAAAGGCTTGCCAACGCTGCGGCAGCCAGGAAGATCTAAGTCTACACTGGGCTGGCTTGAAGGCAGGGAAGCGAGATGAAGATTCCACCCTGACGTGGACTGCAGAGGATGTGAGGCGAGGGAAGATGACGAGGAGCGACGGCAGCGAGATCTCTTTGGTTGCGGCCCTGGCAGAAGGGCACCGTGGTCGAACTGCGAAGATCGACCTTTATGCAAAGGTCAGCCTTTTCCGAGATGGTAACTGTCGGCCGCGCTTCTTTGAGGTGACCAATGTCCTTCGCTTTGGATACGGCAGCCGTGGTGGCCAGATCAAGCCAGTGACGAAGGAGAAAGACTTTCTGGATGTCGTTGAGATCTGCTTGCAGGAGTACTCTGGCCCATGTCCCCAGACGATGAAGTACGCGCTGGCCTCAGAGCTCTGAAACTTCAACGTAGGAGACAATCTAATGTGCAAAGCTTATGGGTTTCTGGAGAATTTATGTTATGGTTATGTTGTGTTTTTTTTTACGGTGTGCATCTATGCTGCGTCACGCTTGCCGCTTCAGGGTTCCGGAGTATCTATGATTTTTATCGTTTAATTTCGGTTTATTTCCGCTCTGCATGGGCGTTTTTTATATTTTTGTTAGGTTTTGCCATGGTTTTGGACCGGGGCCTGACAAAGTCATAATGAATCAATGGTTTTAATGGGTTTTCTATGATTTTGGTTGGGAGACTAGCAAACCCAAAAAACAACATACACAAACATATTTTAAAGGATTCATTACACCATCCATCTGTAAACTTTCTGAGTTTTCACGTGGTTTTCACCACTTTGGCTGCGGGGCCCCACATGGCACACACAAAATCATACAAAATCAATTAGGTTCCTCGGGAAACTTAATGGTTTCCGAATATTTCGGCGCCCGGGCTAGCAAAATCACTAAAAAAACATCACAAGAATCTTAGGTTTTATGTAAGATGTATGATTGTTTATGTCTTTTGTACGATTTTGGCTGCCTGGCCCTAACACGGGTCTTGGAAAAGTTATGATTTTGCTAGCAACATCATACAAATTCGTCCACATCCGTTAAATTTCTAGGAAAACTTAGAAGCAAATTATGACTAGGAAAACCATTCAAAAGTCTACAAAGGTCATACAAATTTTTTTATCAGATTTACAGAAAATTTAGGATTTTCCTATAGTTTCGTTGGACAGGTTATGAGTTTGTTAGCAAAATCATACAAATTCATCAAAACTCCATTAATTTCCTAAGAGAACTTAGAAGACAAGTATGCTTTTCGCTAGGAGAACCATTCAAAAGTCATACCAAAATCTTACAAAATGCCTGCGTTTCTTGTTGTGGTTCTCGCTCGTGCTCCTTCTTGTGGTTACACCCATGTCTCCCACAAAATGTGTTAAATTCACAGGAAATATAGGGGTTTCGTATGATGCCAATTGAAAAGTTATGAGCTTGTAAGCAAAATCTTACAAATTTGCACACACCCACTAAGTTCCTAGGATAACTTGATGTTTTCAGAGTATTTCTGCGTCCGGGCTAGCAAAATCACAAAACAATCATAAACAGTTCGAAAATTACATGCAGCGTTTATGAGTTGTTTAATGTTGTTTTTTGCGATTTTGGCTGCCTGGTCGTAACACGGGCCTTGGATAGATTCGAACAAAATCCGCTGGATTCCTAGGAAAACTTAATGTGTTCCTGATATTTCTGCCCCCGGGCTAGCAAAATCATTAAAACACATCATAAAGATTCCTTAAAGGTTTATGTATTCTTTTGGAGTTGTTGATGTTGTTTTTTTACGCTTTTGACCGACATTCATACAAACTCCATCACATTCCCAATAAAACCTTAATGTTTTCCTAGTATTTCGGCGTCCGGGCTTGCAAAGTCAAAAAAACTATCAGACGCAATCATTCAGTTTTATGTCAAACTTATGTGTGCCCCCGGACGGGACATGGAAAAGTTAGGATTTTGCTAGCAAAATCATATAAATTCCTTAAAAATCTATTAAATTCGCTAGGGGAACTCAATGTTTTCCTAGTATTCCGGCCCCCGGGCTAGCAAAACCATAAGAAGCACATCACCAAAATCCACAAGTTTGCTGTGTTGTTCTTGAGTTTGTTTAATGTTGCTTTGTTTTTAAGATTTTGACCGCTTGGCCCCACACGGGACATGGAAACGTTATGATTTTCGAGCAAAATGATACAAATTCATACAAACTCCATTAAATTCCATGGGAAACTTAATGCTGTCCTTGTATTTCGGCGTCCGGGCTAACAAAATCATAGAAACAATCATCAACAATCCATGGTTTTATGTAAAAGATATTATTTAATGTGTTTTTTGCGATTGTGGCTGCCTGGCCCCACACGGGACATGGAAAAGTTAGGATTTAGATCGCAAAATCGTACAAATTTCATTCAACATCCATTAAATCCCTACGAAAACTTAGGATTTTCTCAGGGTTTCGTGGCCCGGGCTAGCGAAATCATAAAACACAAAACCATAAACTTGAACAGTGAAAACATCATGAAGAATCCATAACGAAGTCATAAAACATATGCAGCAGAATAAATCACACCGCAAAGAAATCATGAATGCAAAACGTATCAATGGCTTAAACAGAAACATAAGATAATTTAGTCCTGGATCTGAGCCCTAAGCTGCAAAAGGTTGTCTCAAATACAAAAGAGATTGCTCTGGCACCAGGCGAAGCGACTCTGGGAGCGCAGCTCATTCCTCGCCCAGCGGGGCATCAGTTTGCGGGAGCACCTGGTGATGCTGGAAGCCTTGTCGCCCCTCTTTGGGCACTGGCTCGCTAAAATCAGTCAAATGGCTGCATATGCCGAGACCCTCCGCAACATGTTGAAGGGTTTGGAGCAAAGAGGAGAGATGGGACAGCTCGAGAAAGTGCAGAAAGATGCCCTTGACGACCTTCCGACTCTCTGCAAGGAGCTTAGCATAGAAGCAAGGGCAGCATGTAGCAGCATAGCATGCATAGGATGCCTTCAGAGACAAAGTGCGACTCTGTCACTGAGGCGATTTTGCGCAAGCCGTGCAGGCTGAGCTGAAGCAGAAGAAGCTTGACCAAGCTCTTGCATCAGACACTCAGGCCGAGGTGGACGCATCACTGCTGTGCTTACAGGAGGCTTGGAAGTGCTTCACGGGTACAGCAAAGGGCGTCCGGTTGGGGTTCTCGGCTTGGCCCCTCGCCATGCTGCCTCGTGGGTGTCGTCGCACCGTGCACTTGGGAAAGGTGAAGGACATACAGAGATCTCTGCAGAGGGGCCAGGTACTGCTGGAAGCTTGCGTCGCCATCGTCCTTGCCAACAAGCTCCGCAATCTACCTCGTCCAGTCACCCAGCCACTGCAAGACCGTTGGGAATTTCCCACCAGCCACCTGCCCATCGCAGCTGAGATTTCGCTCGTCCACTCTGCTGGGTCCAAACCCTGGCTTCGTGTGACCTCCTGGAACCTCCAGAATCCCAAGGCCGAGGCGTATGCGACTGAAGAGGTCTTGGACATTGTTTTGGCGATGATGGAAATGAAGCTTCAAGCGGAGCACCTCCTTTTTCTGCAGGGGTGTTCGTCGGAGCTTTTGCAAGCTCTGGATCAAGGACTCAGCTGTGACCGTGACCTCACTTTGCTGCCCAACAGTTCTGACGACCAGGCCACCTGCATTCAACCGCAGACTCCGCATCCCCCCAGGGAAACAGGTAGCATGCTCGGCAGACTCGCGTGCAACCCATGCAGGCCGTGGTTTTCCACAAGAGCTCCATCATTGGGTCTGCCATTCTCGCGAAGGAGTCTGCAGACGTGTAGGTTGCCATCGGACCGTTGCATCCTGAGACTGCGCAGGACAGCTCGATGACGATCTTTGAGTTCACTTACAGGGGCGACGTCAAGCTGCAGGTTGCCGGGGCGCCTCCTGGCAGTGACGTGGGGTATAGGGTGTATAAGGTGTAGAGTAGTTTTGTAGGGTTTAGGGGTACAGGGGTACAGGGTTTAGGGTACCTTGATCAAGTCTGAGGGAGCGAATGATTTGGGATGCATGTGTTTCTAGTCTTCCACAAATCAAGCCTGCCGCAATGCCCAGGCGGCTATCTGCCGCACCCCTCGAGACCTTCTGCGAAGAATGCAAACGCGTGCAGGGCATGCTCCAGGCGCCGACGCGTCATGCACTAAGCAGAGCAGGAATCAAGTGACCGTGCTCGCACGAATGACATTCCGCGCCGATGCGAACGTCCACAGTGTCACATGCAAGCAGCAATCGCTCGGAAGTTGTCAGCGCTACTTTTCAATAACATAATTTTATTGCCAAATTAAATTGGTAATAAGGGCTCCCTGCCGTCACCCGGCTTGATGCACGATATCCCAGTCTGCGTGGAAGCAATAGCTGCAGGTGATAACAGCTAGGTCGCGTGGTGAAGTATTAAGTATCGTCCGTTCGATGGGTGGCGATGTGGAGTCCAGGGTTAGTGTGTCAAATGATGCACGAGTCAAGACTCTCCCAATTAAAGGAAGGGTCGTATGGAGTCGGAATCCCAGATGCCACAACTGATACCGACGGATTGAAGAAGTTGTGTGATGGATGCAAAGATCCATGGCATAGTAAAGTTTTAACCTGGATCCTTGTCAACAAAACACTCCGGCGAGACGATGCGCCACCGGGGAACCGGCAAGGAAACACACATGGGATAGTCAACGGGCAGGCACAAAGCAAGCAGTCTTCACATTGTATCTGCAGCTCCAGCCGCAAGCTACCTCTTCGAATGGCCTCATTTTTCAAATCGGTGCTTTGCCCAGCATGAAACCTCCGCTGGACAATTTAACCATATTGAAACCTTGTTTGCCAGGGTCTTAGCAAAAGATGGCTCATCGAAGTTGTCTTGGATCTGACAGGGCCTCAACTCCACTCCGACTCTCCTCGTTGGCGATCTCGGCTTGCCAGAGGAGGCCGGTGAGCCTTCGTTGCTGCTTGGCGGGCTGTACCCGCTGTACAGGGTCCGTACTACGCGTCAGGGGAAACTCTTAACTCGAGGTTTGAGACCTGCATGCCTCGCTGCCTTTAGGCCGCAACACTCCCAGCACTTTGAGGCTGAGACAGCAAAAGTTCTCCGAGCCAGGCAATCCGACCGTGGCTCCCGGCAGAGGTCAGCTTTGCAAAGGTGCCTTATCCCACAACGATCTGCCAGGCTCGGGTGCACTACTCGGAGGATCATGGGACTTAGTAAGTATGGATATAAGTACCGTAATCGGAGTTATAAGTGGTCAGAAGTATAGATACCCTAACTGTAACTCTAGATTCTAGATTCAGTTACTAAGTCCCATGACCCTTTATAAAGTACTTGTTTTGTATCTTTGCCTGCTCTACGCTTCTCCTCAGAGCCCCGCTGCAGTGAACCATCGGACGCCGCAAGCCGCCAGGGTTCACTGCTGCCCCGGCGCCCAGACAGCCTTGCTTCCCTGTCGCCAAAGCTCAAGGCCGGCAGCAGAAAGTGTGAACCTCTGGCATTTAATGTAGGGGCCTCAATCATTAGAATAGGGTTTTGGGGGTTCCTTATTATAAGTATAGTAGAATATACCCCCAAACCGATTCAAGTTATTAAGGCCTTTATATTCGATGCCTTTCTTGAGCATTTGCCGGCTAGACTGCTAGACTTCGGTATCCCGAAAATCTCGAACTTTCCTAGAGCAGAAGCAGGTGAAAGCACTGCCGGCAGAAAGAGTGCACGTCGGCTTGCTCCAGCACGTGGGCCTCCTGCAGTCGAGGCGCCTCTATGCCTTGATTTGCCTCCGCAAGTTCTGATGAAAGCTCTGCCTATGTAGGGCACAGTCGCAATCTTGCTATATTCCAGTGGGCAGAACTGAAACTTCGTCATATTTTGGAAACCCCAAAACCATCAACCGTAAGACCCGCAATGAGCACGTCTCAATCAGCTACAGGCCACCAAAAGCCCCGCAAGCAGCCCCAATCCTCGAAAAGCAAAGATCTTCCAGGTCGTTGGGCCTTGCTGACGCAAATTCCGAGGCCTCTCTCCGGTTGTTCTGTCTCTCTCCGGTCTCTGTCTGTCTGTCTCTCTCTCTCTCCCTCCCTCTCTCGCTCTCTCTCTCTC